GGCAGGCTCCCCGGAGCGGTCCGACAGCAGGAGCCTGTCCCTCCAGTCCCGCTCTCCCAAAGCCAGGAACGAGCGCAAGCCACACAAATGCTGCTGCACAACGTACCTAGGAGCCCAGACCCCGCTGAGTACCAGCGCTTTGACCCCGCCTCCCTGACGGTGCAGTGAGATCAAACGATATGTTTTCTTGCTGCTGTTTGATCAAAAAAAAAAGAAAAAAAGAAAAAGAAAAAAAAATCCAGCCACGTCTCAGTGCAATGCAGCGTACCGTCACAAAAACGTAGGTTTTGCCAGATCCAGAACGCTAGGTGACTAATCCAAAACTTTTGACGCATAGCAGAAAGCAAGTTCTCTCCACATCTCATCCTACATACACCCTGACACACAATAATTTGAAAAGTACAAATATGGATATGGGTTATCCTTTTGTTGCCATGTAGATTTATATTTATATTTATATTACCCATCATTTTATGTCTGTATAATTAAGGAGATGTATCCAAGACATTTTGATTACTTTCTGTTAGAATATATCAGTGATTTGGATAAGCCCAGTCTCAAATCCCCGAACCCAAACTGCAGACTGAAATTGTTCCAGGTGGTGCCAAGCACCAGGCAAAAATCATTTAAAAGTGTGCACCTCTTTACATATGCAAGCACACTGTATATCCACACATTGCTTACCTCAGAGGTATGTGTGAATGCCTTCTCCAGGTGCATATAACTTTGGCCTAACTTAGGCATGCCCAGAAGTACATGCAATTCTGAAACTATTAGTTGTAAATAGCTGTAATGCTCTTTGCAACGGGACCTTTTAGTCTTTGATAAGTGGTACCAGCCCAGCACTTCAAAAGAGTTCCAGGAGAGGGAGGTGGATTTTGGAAAATTTACAAAGGATTGATATTAGCTCTTTCTTTAAAGGTAAATAATGCTTTACAGCTGTCCACGGCAGCTACATCAGCCAGGTCCACTGCAGCTACATCAGCCAGAATAATAGAGAAAGACAACATCAAACATCACACAGAAGTTTAGATGAGTGCACTTAAACTGGGTAGGACAGAGGAGTCTAGGAACGTATGAACCACAGTAACAGAAGAACTATTTATTTGGAATAACTTACCTTTTTTATAAGGACCCCATAAAATACATCAGTATCCTATCCTGCAGAGAAATCTGTACTTCAGGATAAAATAGTCAAGATCCGTGTAAAACACTTGCAACCTAAATTTTTTTTATGAAATCCATGCCTGAAGAGAAGGAGCCTTTTTCACCTCCAGTACTCTGCCTATTCTCCCCAGTTTCTGAGCTGAAACCTTTGCCCTTTTGCAGTGGGGGAGACGAAGGGGCAAGACTTTTTACCACTTCCACTCATATCGTGGAAACCAGGCACAAATAAGCAAGCTGCAGATTGAAACAGCAGTCATTTGAAAAGATAGTGGTTTCACATCCAACTTTTGGGGCAGGATCTGTGACACACAGTCAGTTCCCTGCTCTGAGAACTGGGCTTGTCTAGCTAAACCCAACTTATCTGGCTAAGTTTGTCTGTGCTAGCCAGAGACTGCAGTATAGGCAAACCCGTGGTTTATTGTGATCTATTCTCAAACAGGCAAATGTTAAAAAAAAAAGTCACTCGCTTCAGCCAGCATTATATTATGGGCTTAATTTTTGCCTCATGGTCAGTATTTTCACGTATCTTGGGAGAATACAGACAGATAACTGAAGCCAAATGAATAAGGAAACAGACTGCCTGGAGATTTACTTGTCCTGCCCAAAGTGTCACAAGACCCTGGGAACACAGAATGAGTTTTTAACCTCTAAAACGCATATGCAACCCTACAGCAACCATGCTATTTGGTAATGTTAAATCAGTGTAAGCTCTGAATTAGGTTCTACGTGTTGTGAGCATTTCCCCTTAGAAATCAGTAGTTAAACATTTATCGAGAACAAATGTGTGGCGCTGGGGAAGAAAGGTCAGTGCTGGCTGATTAAACATTGCCAAAACATTTTGCTCCTGTATAGAAGAAAACAAAACCTTGTTTGCGAGCAGATGACATTCAGCTAGACACAGTTCACAGTTTTTCAGAACTGTAAACATCCAAAACACACAACTTTTTTGAAAACAGCTTTTCTCCCTGTATGTAAAATCCCTATTGTGTAATGATTATGAAAATAAGACACATGGTGATGACATAATCCCCAGGTATTTTATTATGAAGGTTGCCTCTGGTAGCTTCAAATGACAAGCAAAAAGATAGTGGGAATTAAAGCCTCCCCAAAAGGCCCTTTTATCCTGAAGGAAAGCATCCATGTGGGAATGGCTGCTTTAGATCCTGACGCAGGGGAGGACTGAGGCTGGCCGTTGCCTGCCATTGGAGACAGATCTGCCAGTGTGATTTCTAGCTAGACAACCAGACTTTTGGCTCCTTTGCTTCATAAAGTGTTTCCCTTCTCCTGCGTGAATTTCCCACGCCAGGCCAGCCTCCTAAAATACATATTTATGACGGCCATAGCAAAGCATAGCACATCTCTGGGCACAGGCACACAACTTCAAAAGGACACAATTAAAGGTGAAAATTTGTGGAAAAAAGTTTTCTCGGTAAGGTAGCTGTAAAATGGCATTTATCTGATAATGACACATTAAATTATTCTGCCAGTTTGTATGAATTTTGCTATGATCGATAAGCACAATCGAACTATAAAGCTGATGATATTCTGCGGTAAAGGGTTTTCCCGTAGCACGCCTGTATGCTGCCCTCTTGTGTCAGTAGCATGTAAACGTTTTTAGTACTTTATTGTGAGGGCGGACTCTTAGGAGAGCACATCTCCGTTTTTCTATACGTTGACAGAGCGCTTAATATGCATAAAATTGATTCTGAAAAGGAATTCTATGTGCCTGTGAAATACAAATATTGTCATCTTTATTGTCGGTTTTTAATTTCTGTATTTGTTACCTATCCACAAGACTCTACCAGGCAAGCAGAGCAAAGAATATGCTACCTGAATATTATACATGCTAATACTTCCCTTTTAAAATGTCATATAACATATCCAGAAAAAATATTTACAGTAACAACTCCAAGTTTACTTTAGGAACTTTTACTTTAGTTTACTTCAGGAACTGCTAAAAGAATAACCTGAAGAGACTTCGATGTACTCTGTACTAAACTACAGTGCTATCAAAGAGTGGACTTATCTTCTTTAACTGTCTACTTGGCAGGAAAAAAAATAAGTTTTACAACCACCAAGGGGCATAATGTCATGATTAGATGATGACATCTAAAATTCAAGATGGCCGGAGGAAGAGCATGTGATACAAAAGGTCAAATTCTGCTCTCAGACCCTGATCCGGGGTTAGATTTCTAGGGCAGATATCCCATTAATGTCCTTGTAGATTTAGCTACAGGACCATAACCAGTTATGTTGCTTTGCTGAAAACAATAGCTCAAATTGTTCAAATTTTTAATATCCTGTTGCTTAGGATGATTTAAATGAGCGGTACTGCAGAGGTTCAACTGTGGAGGTCTTGCTTGGGCTTTTGTTCAGCTCTGGTAATTTTAACTTTATTTGCTTCAGTTCAGGACTTCCAGATAACCTCAAATGTTTATCAGAACAACAGAAAGTCTTTTCTTCCAAATCCCAGCTCATTTTTATTCTGTAAAAGTACAGATGAAGCAGTGTTTGGCTTTTCCAGCTTAATCTGCAGTGTGATGAAGGTGTCTTGAATATGTTACATTAGTGAGGTCCAAACTATAGCGTATGCTAAAGGAATGGAACATGGTAACCATAAATGATTCTCTTATCTACGCCTCTGAAATATATGGTCAATAAAGGAAGCTGAGTGACTGTTTACAAGGTTATTCCCCCTTCTTGTTTACCAGCTGTATTCTGTTTCATGCCAAAGGACTGGCAGTAAAACTATTTAAAGTGACTGTTAGCTTTTACATTTTTTAAATTAATTTTATTCAGTATTTACAGAGTTTTTCATACTGTGAATGAACAGTAACGAATCGTTACAATGCCCTTGTGACATAGACAGGCAAGTAAAGAAAATCAAGGAAAAAACTTTATCCTGGGCTGCAGAGGAAAGTCGTGCTGGAGCGAAAAGCTGGCTGATTACTTTGGGAATTCACACAGTTTGAAAGAGAGTGAGAGAAAGTGGGGAAAAGAGAATTTAACTCAGCAATACACAAACTGCGTTTGTTACCTTTTCTGCATATTTCCTTTTGCTCTACTAACCTGATATTTCTTTTGTGACACAGTTGCAGCCGGTATAGAAAAAAGCCGAGAAGGGATATGCCTAGCACGTATTGAGTCAGCTCTGAAGAAACAGCAAGAAAGTTAAGCCCCTACAGATAGGACATCACTGCAAGATGATATGACTTTAAAAACAGGAGTAATAGGTGGATAGAAGGAACCTATACTTTAGATTGCTCTATAGAGTCCATTTGATCTTGATAGGAACACCAAGCAGTGGCTCAAAATCCTTTTCAAGTAACTAGTTACCAGATAGCTATAGTATCCTGATCTAAAATGGGGTTTTATCTTACTATTTCCCACTATTTTTGCATGTAGGTTTACTTTACTGATGGCTGTAATGGCAAAAACATTTGCTTTCATAATACACTGTAAGGCATGTGCGGTCATTCTGTGCTGCCTTTCACAGGACAAGGACCTAATAGGTAACTGGGATTCGCAAGTGATCGTGCAATCTGAAACAGATGCTGTCATTGGAGTTACTTAAGACACATACTGACCAACTTTGCCTTGACCTTATATGCTTTTCTTCTGCCCAAAGAACCTGTTGTAAAAGTCAATGCGTTTGTCCATGAGGACACATACAGGGTTGAAATGAAAAGGATAATTTTTAAGACTGCTTGAGAGTTTAGTTTCATGACTT